CATAAGAAAGTTTTGGTTTTGTTTTTTTTGGGGGGTGTTTGTTTTTGTTTGTTGTTGTTGTTTATGAGACACGGTCTTGATTTGTAGCTCTGGCTGGCCTGGAAGTCACCAAAGAAACCTGAATCTCACATGTGCTCTGGGCATCATACTCTCAGGTCCACACTCAACAGAAAAGAAAGTCCACAAAAGATATATGCACAGATGTTCACAGCAGCTTTATTTCCAACTAAGGTCAGGCAGTGTTTGGAAGCAGAGTCCCCGTATGAAGGCCTTAAGAGGGCAATGTGAGAGGCCATTGCATGAAGCTGTGACATCTACACCAGGTTGCAGGAAAACCCCCAGGATGTTGGAGATGCTCAGCTATGGGCATCTGCCAAGGAACATTGCAGGCAGGGATTGGAAACATGTCCAAAAGAGAGATGTATGTTGCAGGCAGCAAGGTGGGTAGGAGGCTATGCCATTTAAGCACTTTAAAGTCCTAGGCACCAGACATGGAGCTATAGGATTTACAGTTTTCACTCCTGGGTTTCAGTCTTACTTTGGTCCAATGTTTTCCCACTATACCCCCATTCCTCCCCTTGGGAAGGGTAATCCATATTCTGTGTTCTTCTAAGTTAGAACATATATACATATGTTTATATAATGTAGTACTATTTTTTTGATTTTGAGATTTAGTTTCAGATGAGACTCCACTGGAGGCAGGTTTTTGAGAATTTATGCCCTTGCCCTACCTCCAACTCACTGTCTTCGCTTTGTGTGTGTGGCTAAAGGTTTGTGATCTCTGTTTCCTGCTCCCATGACCATGCCTGCTTCTCACTGCTATGCCTTCCTGACATACTTTTATCCCTGTGAAACTAAGCCAGAAAAAATTCTTCATAGATGCCTTGGTCATGTTGTATTATCATAGCAATTGAAAAGTAACTAACACAGCACCCTGAATGAAAATTAGGGCATGATCACTCCAAGGTATGGTTGAGGAGAAGGGTTTTATTGTTGATATGAGGGAGAGTTCAGCCAGAAGCATCTAGAACAGTCCAAACTGAACCAGGCCATGAGGGAGGAGGAGCAAGAAAAGAAAATTAAATATACCAGTCAGACCAAGAGAAGAGCCAAGGATCAACTATGCCCAGTCATCAGGGCCAGAAGAGGCATTATGACATAGACCTTCAATCATTATTAGCTTTTGTCAATTTGACACAAGTTAGAGTCATCTGTGAAGAGGAAACCCCAACTGAGGAATTGTCACCATCAAACTGGCCTGTAGGCAAGTCTCAGGACCATTTTCTTGATTAATGATTGATGTGAGGACCTACCTCACTATGCATAATGCTACCCCTGGGCAGATGGACCTGTCTCGTATAAGAGCAAAGTGAGCAAGCCATGAAGAGCAAACCAGTAAGCTCCTGAATTGACTGCCTAGAGTATCAAGGGTCTGAAGTCTGTGGTGTGAGCCTGAGTAACCTACAGGGTTCAAAAGTCAAGTTGAGGGATCTGGACAATACCCTGCCTGCATACACTGTCCTAGGAAGCTGGTGATACACGCTCCTTCATGATGTACACAGGGACAGTGGTCAGTGTATCAAACAGTATCCAAAGCCCTTTGGAAGTAAACACAGCACAGGCCGATGGGAATGCTCCTTAGTCAAGAATTGCTCAAGCACTTCCACAGCAATGTGCCTGCAGAAGTCACCAGTAAGATAAAACACCATCAACAAGATGAGAGGGCCTGAGATATTTCCAGAGGACAGGCTGCAGAGTGCTGCCAGACATGGGCCTACGGGACTGGTTGCCAGCACAAACTATCACAGTGTTGCTCCAAGGCATCATATTAATCCCTGACCCGAGCCACTTTACAGACACAGAACCTAAAACAAGGGAGACTAGGCCCCACCTGGAAAAGGAAGGTGAACTCCCACAGTGATTGGATAATGGGTCTAAGTAGCTACACAGTCCTGTCACCTGAGGCTTTCAGTGGCATCTTTCAGCAGACCATGTTGGCTTGTTCTGAAGACCACCCATTAGGCCCTATTCCAGTCTAGGACAGAGAGGGAGATGGAGAGGTCTTCTTCCAGATCCTCATAACTTGCCCCAGAGATATTGTGTTGATGGTTCACTGCAACATGACCACATCAACACCCACTACATCTGAGGGCTGGCTGCCTGACATAAGTTTCTCCACTAGAAAGTGCTCTTTGTCTCATCAAGAGCAGTCTACGTTCACATAATGGGTGTGAAGTTTGCCTGGTGACATCACTCTTCCAAAATTAATGCAACCTGTTGGTCATGCTCACTGGGCTTGGTGGGCAAGAAGTTACATGCCCTGGAGGATTTAGCAAAACATACTTCCAAGAGGTAGAAGGCAAGCTCTGAAAAGCTCAGCATTCTCTAGCGGAGCCTGTGGTGATCCCATGGCAGTGGGAAATGTCCTATTTTATTTGAAATGAGGGGTCATTCACAGGCATGGTGATACATACACACCCATAATCTTAGTACTAGGGAGGCTGAGACAGAAGGGTCAAAGTTTCAAGGCCAGCCTACAGGGATAAAAAGCACTACAGAAGGTCATTGTATTTTATTTACTCTACCCACTTCTAAGAGGCACAAGGCCAGAGGAACTCTAAATTGGATGTAGCCACGCAGCGTGTACAAGCATTCCATTCAGACTTATTTCCTGGACAGAAGGTAATACTAACTTGGAAGAGCTTGGCAGCAAGCCTAGGCTGCCCCACAAATTTCTGTATGTTGGGCTTTTTCATGGGCTGCTGGAGAGAAGGGATATGTACAGAATGAATTAAGGACATGTGTGTCCAATAGGCCACCTGAAAGGGATGTAACTGTGTCTTAGCACACCAGGGACTGGTACTGAAAGAGCAAGGGTTCTTCCAGAACCAAGGTGATGCATCCAGCATATTTTAAATAGTAAATATAATCCCCCAAAAGGCTTACATGTTAAACAATTGTTTCCAGGTAATGGTTCTGTTTTGGGAGATTCTAGAAACTTTAGGAGGTAGGGCCTAGTTGGACAAAGGTCAGTGAAGAAGTGTTTTTGAAGGTTACACTTAATTCTATCCTTACTCTGCTTCCTATTCCGTATGAGGTGAACAGCCTCCCCCTCTACAAGTTACCATCCTCATGATGTTCTGCCCAAGTGCATGGGGAAAAGTAACAAGGCACTCCAAGTTTACTGCAGCCATGGATGGCCCAAGGGTCCTCAGCCACCATCCAAGCTTCGTGTGATCCACGGGATGCTGGCTTAGAAGACAGAATACAAGAGTTACAGTTACAGGGTTATATAGGATTCCAGGCAGATTTCAAAGGAAGACTTGGGAGGCCTGGTAATGTGTGTCAAGGTCGGAATAGTTTTATGTCAATTTGTCACAAGCTAGAGTCATTTGGGAAGAGGGAACCTCAACTGAGAAAATGCCCTAACAGGATTGACCTATGGGCAAGCCTGTATTGCATTTTCTTATTAGTGATTAGTGTAGGAGGGCCCAGGCCACTGTGAGAGGTGCCACTCTTTTGGCTGGTGGTCCTGGGATCTATAAGAAAATAGACTGAGAAAGCCTTGGAGAACAAGCCAGTCAGCAGCACTTCTCCATGACTTCTACATCAGTCCCTGCCTCTAGGTTCCTGCCCTGACTTCCTTCAATGATAGACTGTAACCTGGAAATGTAAGCAAAATAAACTTTGTCCTACCCAAGTCGCTTGTGCTTGTCATGTCTAATCACAGCAATGGAAAACGTAAAATACCAGCCCAGGAGAAAAGTCATAGGAGCTGTAGGTGGCAACACCACAAAGACAGAACATTTTCAGAGTTCACATCACAATAACATCTGCCCCAGTTCTGGGACTGTATCTGCAGGATTTAATGTTTGTCTTTCAGGATTTAATGTTTTGGTCTTGCTTCAGTTAAATCCTTCCTTGTCATTTATTTTCCTGTTGACATGGAGATGTTTATCCTATGCAATTGTATTTCAGAAGCGCATAACTTTATTCTTTTTTTTTTTTTGGCTCTTTTCAGTTTATTGCATGAAGGAGTTACACTAGTCCAAGTTAAAAGCGGACCCCAAATGGTTACATTTTACAAGCTGTGAGGTTTTTAAACTTGTGACAAGGGACAGGAGGGAAATTCTACTCATTGCAGGGAAATCCTCACTTAAGCTTCAGAGTCACAAGCACTTAAAACCCGTGAACCTTCAGCTGATCATCCTTAGCCAGTCCAATCTCTATTAGGAACTGGCATATGTTCTTGCGCTGGTCACCCTGTAGCTGAATTACTTCTCCATATTCTGGATGCTCAATTACAGTACCATTGCAGGCAAATTTCTTCTTAAACGCCTTCACTAGTTTCTTTTTATCGTAATCATCAGCGATCCCTTGGACAGTGGTAAGGGTCTTCCTGCCGTTTCTCTGTTGAATTCTTATATGGATAAAATCCTCAGTGCCAGCAGGAAGCAGGTCATCACCCTTACTTGCATCAGCAAAGGGGTCGAAAGAGTGGAGGTTCTGAATTGCGGACATACGATACGATTCCTTTTCCTTGGTGGAAACGGCCTGCGGAAGGCGGCTGCAGGAGAAGGTGGGCTGGGGGGGGGGGGGCAGCTGAGTCCTCGGCAGCGGCTCAGTGACTGGGGCCATAACTTTATTCTTGATATTGTAGAATCTCAAGCTAAAAGTTTGTCTTGAGTCTCAGAAAAGGAACTGAATTTAGCCTGTGTATGCATAGTATGATGTGCAGTGTGTTTTGCGGGTGAGAGAGAGAGGGAGAGAAAGAGGGTGTGTGTTTGTGCGCGTGCACGTGTAGACCAAAGTTCAATATTGAGTATCTTCTCTATAGTTCTCTACTTGGTTTTTCTGAAGCAGGATTTCTCACTGAACCTGGAGCTTGCAGTTTCTGTCCCTCCCACCAACACTAGGGCTATAGGCATCTCTCGCCATGCCGGCCTTACATGAGCACTAGATACCTGAACTCAAGCCCTCATGTTTGCACAGCAAGCACTTTCCCCACTGAGCCGTCTTCCCAGTTCCAGAGTTAAACTTTTGAGCATCTGGGTGGAGAGAGGAACGCAGGCAAAGGTCACTGCAGCTGGGCCCCCTGTAGTGTTCATCCACAAAGACAGACTCCAAGGCTGAGGTAGAGAAAGATACTTTAAAAGAAAATGGGGGGAACAACAAAGGGATCCATAGTCAACTGACTAGCTAATGGCAGTCTAGCTCAACCTGGCCAACCCCATTTACCAGTCAGCACAGGCTCACCAGTCACTAGAAGCCAGTGGCTCTCATGAGGCAGGGACATCCAGGTAAGTCACAGGGTCTGAGAAGGGGCCTGGCCGGGCCCAGTAGTCCAATGCTCGTACTTGATAGGAGCCAGAAACCACACCTGTGTCTGCAGACAAAAAGCACATGTTTTCTGAAGCTCCTGAAACCCCAGACCCACCCCACACCATACTGTATAGAAGGAGGTCCAGCAGTACAACCGCCAAGGTTGGGCGCACCTGGGCTGAACACAAAAAGGTTGAAAGTAGACGGCCTCCTGCTGATTGGGGCATACGCCTCACCCTTCTGGGAGAACTGGATCTCATATGTCCACAGGCACCTGGGGAGGGCTGGGTCAGTACTAAAGCTGGGAACCCTGAAGGACTAGATTGGTGGGGTAGGGTGGGCCCACAACCCTCTACTCTTCAACTCCCTTCCTGGTACCGCTAGGGTCCCTGATTACTCCCAAATTGTAACAGGTCACAGTGAGGGGGGGCACTGGAGTGATCTCCAGCTCACACAAATGGATCTGTGCAGGTGTACTGAGCACAGAGGTCCGCGGCAATGGAGAAGGGAGATGAATGATCACAAGGGTAATGACATAGGGAAGGATAACCACTCCCACTCACGCACTTGGAGCCCACATGCTCATCCGACCAGACTAGAACCAACTGCCCACGTGTCAGGGGCAGTGCCCGGAGACGGCTAACCTGTGAGGAGGGAGTAGCTATGAAGGGGTGAGCTAGGGAGCCTCACAGGTGGGGTATAAAGCCGCCACTTGCCTTCCCTGGTGGCTTCAAGGGTTGTGTGCATACGTGCACCAGCAAAAGTGATGGCAAAGAAAGCTTCCTATGTAAAGTCAAGCGGCCTCCAGCAGGGAAGGGACGCGGTGCCTCAACCACTGGGTCCTGGAGACAAGGGAGGGGCATCTGATTGGCAAACCTCCCCACTAACTAAGGAACCCCTTCTCCTCTCCTCCCGACTTGCCCACAAACCTCCACCATGCGCATACGTCGGAACTGCTCTGCAGAGGGGAAGACTGGCTGACCCATCTGCTGCCACTCACTGTAGGGGCTGCAGAGTTGATTGTCTAGGTAGCGTACTACATAGACAAGCCCTGTGAACCCATACACCATGATTTACCTCCCTTGTCTCATCCCTGCTGGGATCCCAACTTCCTTCAGAACCTCACTCACCCAATCCAGGGGGTACCCCGCGAAGGTGAAGAGTCACGGAGATACTGCGGTTGAGGTGTTCATGGGTGTCATCACTAGCGTAGATCAGGACCGTGGTACGCCAGGCCTCCGAGGAGACTTCGGGGCGATGGATGCTGGCCAGGACACCCACTGTGTGATTGCTGTCCAACACAGCCCCAGCCTCTGACACCTCTGCCCAGAGTTGTTCTCCATCTATAGGCCAGGCAGAGGACCAAGGCTGTTGGCTCCCTCATACCCAAACCTGGCTTCCTACCCTAATGCCTGGCTCCCACCATTTGTGGAAGGCCCTGCCATACTGTTCCACAGAATGGGAGAAGGGGATGAGGTGGAGATTTGGAAACCCACCCAGCAGCTGGAGGAAGTATGCTTGCCCCTGCCCAGTATTTCCATGATCTCTCACTCTGACCCAGCATATGCAGAAGCAGGGTCATTGCTCACCCAGCAGGGCCATCAGCCCCATGACTGTGAGGACTGGCTTTCGCAGGAGCTGCACATGGGGTGGGCGAGTATTGTTGACCTGGAAGCGGGCAGTAAGTGTGCGCTGGGAGAAAGGGTGAGGGTGGTAGCTCAGGAAGGCATTGTCATTGCTCAGGAGCACGTAGCGCATGGAGGAACTGCTATTAGCAAGCAGCAGGTTCTGGTGCTGTGCAATGACCTGTGGACATCAGGGCAGATGAGACGTGTACCTGAGGCCACCTGTACTGTCCTCACCAGAACCGCCAGAGGAAGACTTCCCGAGGTTGGATGAGGCTAGATAGCAAGGACCCACCTTCACCACCAAAGCCGCATAAGTCACATCAGCTCTCCAAGGTTGTGGCAGTGACCAGCCCACCAGAGGGTCTGCCTCGTCATTGTAAATAGGGGTGTCCTTGAACTCAGGGAAGAGCTGCTGGATCTGCTCCACAACTGCTACCTCCTGCTCCAGGATGGAGATGGAGCTGCCTGCGCCCTGCAGCCAGCACGTACCTCTCAGTTCAGGCTCAACTGAAATCAGGGAGGGAGGAGTGGGGGAATCACATACCTTCTTGTGCAGGGAGATAAAATCCAGACGCACGCCCACCTCGCCAGTGAAGAAGTTGGTTCCGTTGGCACAATGGCGCAGGAGGCTCCAGCAAAGTGGTGACTTTGGCAGGGGGTGGAAGGAATCCCCAGGGCCACCCAGCCTCAACGTGGGGCTGGCAATATGCAGCCCCTCAGAGCAGGCATCATAGTAATTCAGGAAGCCTAGGGCAGAGGGGTCTTGAGGGTCTGGTGTTGTCGTGCTTCCCTTTCATGCAGCCCACCCAACAGGACCTGGAAAAACGCTGCCCACCTTGTGCGGTCATGGACACATTGTCGAAGTCGTGGTGGTCTGGTTCATTCCAAGTCTCGAAGTTCCACTTGGAAACATGTGTCAGTCCATACCTACCTGAAGAGTGTCTCTGCTGTTACACGCTGGATGCTCTACCCTCAGGTCTGGGGATAGAGCCTACCTGGTGTCTCCTAGGGATTGGGCCCCATGGGTGGGGTTCCACTTGATAGGGGTTATCTGGTCCCAGGTAAGTACCCCACCCCCATTAGGTGAATCCCTCACCCATCAGCCATCTCTGGCTGGGGTATAGGAATGTCTGTGGCAGAAAAGACCATGAAATGGTCTGGGTGATCAAGAAGGAGGGCCTCCCACGACAGCCCACCGCAGCCCCCCAGGCATTTCCCCCTTCTATGCACCAATATATCTCCTGGCCAAGAGAGAAACCAAGTCCTTCCATTCAAACACCTGCTGCTTGTCCTCAAAGTCCGTGAAGTACCCAGAAGGACTGCCCATCAGCTCAAATCCTGAAATACACAGGGTAGCTGCCCCACTATCCAACACACCAAGCCCAGCTGGGCTATACCTCATCAGCACCTCAGTCAGTGCTGAGATACCACCACCCATCAGGACACAGAATGACAGATTGTGGGGAAAACAGGGCGGCTACTCACCAGGGAGGAGCTGGTTTTCCATGAGGAGGTCCAGGAAAGCATCTAAGTGGGTGAAGTTGTATATCAGCCCCTGTGTAGATGACTTCCTGTGGAGAGAAGGTCAGTCCTGGAGAGCAGCAGTATTTCTCCATACTTTAGGTGGGAACTAGGGCCACATATAAGCATGTGGGTGTCCCAAGTTCCCAGGAAGATCCAGGCTTTCAGATGGGCCTTCCCTTTGGAAAAGACCAGCACTGTGAAAGTCTACCACAGTGTGTACAGGTCTGCACACACTATGTACAAGTGTGTGCACACAGAACCCCACACTAAGCCTTAAAGACACTGAAAACAGGGATGGAGAGATGGTTCAGCAGTTAAGAGCACTGCCTGCTCTTCCAAAGGTCCTGAGTTTAGTTCCCAGCAACCACATGGTAGCTCGTCCACCTGTAATGAGATCTGGTGCTCTTTTCTGGCCTGCAGGCATACATTCAGACAGAACACTATATATAGAATAAATAAGTCTTTTATTTAAAAAAAAGACACTGAAAAGTTGGGGCTATGGAAGCTTCTATCACTCACAATGGAATGTGAACAGGTGTGTGTGTGCGTGAAACCTTCAAGAGATTCAGGTAGGGCTCAGATCAGTCACCACACTGAGGTGCGAGGGACAGACAAGTTGTACAAGAAAGGTGTAAAAAGGGATTGGGCAGAGAGGTGAAGAGGCATCTTAAAGACAGCTGATATGGGAACAGGGGACGGAGCAGCAGACGAGCAGAAATTGGTAGGCACCACGCCCATTCTACACACTCTCAGAGACCAAAGCTCCAAACTTAGCCCCACAATCCCTTACAACATGGATGGACAAGAAAAGAAGGTGGAGGGCTTCCTCAGTCCCATACTGGGCCTCTTCTCATAGGGATCCGTTTCTGAGAGGAAGAGCCATTAGACAACTGCCTGGACCCATATTAAAATATCACAAGGTTGGCAAAAGGGATATATCAGAGTGAAGGGGAAGATGATCAGGGAGAGGAAACCACTCTAAAAAGGTAACATCAAAGATCTTCCAAGCGGTGGCTTGAGCCAGTGATGAGAATATCTGGGGAACAAGCGAGTACAAAGACCCTTAAGTAGGAGCAAATTAACAGTAGTCAAGCAGTAGAAAGGTACCTCGCTTGCCTGGAGCAGAATAAAGGTACAGATCTGGGACTGGGATTACATGGGGGCTTGTGACCACATGAAGATGGGACACGACTCAGGCCACATGATTCTGAGCAAAACAGGAGACATGTAAGGTCATGATCGGAGCAAAGCCACGAGGTTCTGGAAAGATCCTGTAGGGTTAATTGAGATGAAAGCAGGAGACGTCAATGGACATGAAGCAGAAGATGACAGGACAGTGTGCAGACTGAGCAGTGTCTACTGTCAGATGCGAGGTGAGCTATGGGCAATGTGCAGCACAATTGCATGGATTTCAGGACACTGATGCTTGGGGCTGTCTCTGGATTACCGTTCTGGGGAAGGGATGAAGAGCAGCCCTGAGGACAGAATCTGAAGCTGAGGTAGCTGGAAGGTACCAGCCAGCAAGTACAAAGCGTCAGTCCTGCCAGGTTCTTAGGGTGAGCTGAAGACAGTTGCCCCAGAAGTTGTGTAAGACAGCTCATGGGTTTGTCTGAGTGGGATGGCAGGTCAGAGACAGTCTGCACTGTGGGTGGTAGAAACCACCTCTACAAGAACCAGCAATTCTAAGCATAGCAGTCCATCACTGTACATGGTCACATTGGCCAAGTTCAGGTCCTGCTTCTCCCTGCCTGCCCTCTGTGCTTTTGGACTGGCGCCTCTGCCTACAGCTACAAAACAGACCTGCTTGGCTCTTTCCCTTTCCACCCAACGGTCAAAAACAGTTGCAAATAAATAAAACCTAACAAGCACTTGGATAAAGATTAAACGCATGTTCCAAAGTCCCAAGTTGTTGGGGTCAGTCAGAAGCTATCAGCAGTTCCCTGTCTTTACAAACCAGGCATAGTACACACTTCATGGGAGCAGGCCTCAGCAACAGGCCTTTTTCTGGACCAGTATCTCACATCAGAGATGTCCCAAGACTGCAACCCCGTATGGACCTCACTGCCTGCCTGGCACACACACACACACACACACACACACACACACACACACACACACACGTAGGTCAGTCTCCACAGTGATGCCAGACCATCCGGCTACCTCCAGGGCCTCCCATGCCCAAGAAACCCAGGGAGCAGTCCTTTGTTCTCACTGTGAATTAGTTCCTTTCTGCTGAAGGGTGGTGGTGTTAAAGAATCCTAAATTGGGGAGGGGGCAAGTCAGTGAGGTGAAGTGTAGGGAAATCTCCATCCCCTGCAGAGCGATCTGTGCCATAGCCCAGCTGGGCTGGGCAGGAAAAGGTGCAGCCACACTAGCAAGGCCACACAAGGGCCCTTTCACGCTAGCCCGCAGCGGCCGCACTGCTCTAGGCCTCCCGCTAGAGGCGTAGCGCGGGCGCTCGGAGGATGAGGCCACAGCGGCTGGTGAGTGCCTGGGTGAGAGCGGGGGAACCTGAGCTGGCGGGGAGGCGGAACGCTCCTGCAGAGGAGTGCAGCAGTACCCGGCACCACCAAGGCCGGTGCACTTAGCAGGCTTGGGAGGGCCAGGGCTGCGAAGAGAACGCGGTCTATGGATGCCGACTATGAAGGATGCCAAGCGGGATGGGGGTGGTGCGTGCAGAGCGGATACGCTCGGTATCTCTTGGGAAAACCTGCTGAAGCCCCCAGGAAGGTGTGCGCTCGGCCGAGTTTGGTGGAAGAAATTCTGATGTGGTCCTGGAGCCTGTCTGGACATCATTTTCTACTGTTAGGACAGGGTACAATGTTTTCTTCCCAAATAAAATGTTTTGAAGATTTAAATGGTGGACTTAGAGATAAAAGAAGGAAATCACTGAGCCGCATAGGACCAAACAGATCTATGGACCCTATACCGCTGTCCTATATGTGTCCAGCAGCAAGCCAAGAAGCCTGAGGCTCAAAGGGCGTATTGGGATAGGCCAGTGAGTGGGCTTGGTCCCCCGGTGCCTCATTGCAGCACCACCCTGAGTGCACAGAGCTGTAGAGGCAAAGAATAAGTGGGGGAAAGGACTCATGGCAAGGCATGGAAGACATGACTTCATCTACATTTCAACTGGCTGTGGACACTGGTGGGGGGAAGGGGAGGTGGAGGTGGAGGATGGGGGGGTGTATGATGTAAGGCCCAATCCCTCCCACCTAGGGTGGTGGAGATGAGAGGGACCATTCCTATACTGCTTTCTTTGCTTCGAAGGGAAGGTGAATATTCTCACACTCTCCTTCAGCCCAGAACCTCTGTGTTTACAGGTATATCCATTCCACAACTTCAGCTGTGCCCTTCTCAAAGATGTAGCAACAGCACATTCCCCAGCAGCTCCTCTGTGGGTAACTGGGGAGGTTATCACTTTATGGCATCCTCAGTAGCTATCCCCACCACCACTAGAAGAGCATTTATCTGACAAAAGAGGAGCTGCTCTGACTAGCCCCACCACACCCACTGGATAACTAACTGCTTCTGTAAACCACAGTTCCCAACTACTGTGCAAACAGTGGCTCCGGGCTTGTTGTAAGGGAAAAGGGAGGTCTAGTCCTACAAAGGTAGGGACCCTGGGGGGGCCCTAATAGGTCCTTCCAGGAACAGCAGACCTACTTGGAGAGACAGGACAGAATCCAGGTGAGGAGCGTGAGAGCAAAGGTGGAGGAATACTTAACCCACAGAGCATCCAGCCCTGCCTAGTCTCACAGTCAGGCTTCCCACTCTGCCCATTCCACCCACATCCCATTTTTATTTTACCCACAAGGAGGGCGTTGGCCAGGCCCATGGCTGCCAGGAACTGGACAAGGCTTACAGATGTCCCAAAGGAGTGTCCAACCTGTGAACTGGATGGGATTCCGAATTCTTATTATCTCCTGACCTGGAGAAATAGAGTCTCAGGGTCCTAGCTGGTTCTGCAAGACAACTGTTGATCCCAAGCCCCTTCTCAAGACCCTTCAAGACCTCTTCTACAAGAGAAGAGGAGCAAAGTATTTGGCTTCACTTCACCCGGTCCCAAAGCAAACTGCCCACTGTGCTTGGGCTTGTGAAGACTGCAGACCAGCCTAGCTGGGCCTTCCAGCCATAATGAAGGGTGCTGTCTCCAGGTTGAGAGGGTACCCAGAATACAGCAGCTCACAGAAGAGATCAAAGCCTGTTACACAAAACTACTTACTCTCAAGCACATGTGAGGGACTCATTGCTCACTACAAGATGTGGATCTGAGGTTCTGACCAGTCTTACAGAAAGAACTTGGAGGCATACCTCAAGTCTGAGGACACTGATTAGTTATGCTTATGTTAAGGGACCATTTATCTCTAGGCTATCCTTACAAGGCAAATCCCACGTCCTACAGAGGTACATGGGGGCCAAGTGCAATGATCACAGGTGGTCAAGGGTGGCAAGAACTGAGGCCAATCCAGGATCCCTGTTGCAAAGGGAAGAACACACCTAACTTGATGTTGGCAGTCCTTGGGCTGTGCACAACACAGCCATGTGTTCATTCACACAAGTGTGTACACACACAGCAGTAGCTGCACACAGGGACACGGAACAGATCTGAGCTTTAGCTTGCCCCAGCTAGAACACGCTCCATGAAGGTGGAGAGAAGATAACCAGTATCTGGGTAGGTGGAGTCAGCTGTACATGACCCCATAACCTCATAGCTGAAGCATTTCAACTCAGCTCCTCTGGGGCCTCACACTCAAACATTCTGCCTCACTACTCCTGTCCCCACCTCCTCTCCCTCTTAACAAGACAGAAGCTGTTGCACCTGGAGCACCCACCCCTCTGCAAAGGGGAGATTATCAGAAGCCCACATAACCATAATTATTTGTGAGCCTCTGATTATAGTACAACTTGCCGAATTAGCTCACCGGATTAGACGCTCAGGTAACATTCATTTGACGGGGGAAACCCATGACTCAGCTATTTGGGGGGTAAATAATTTAACAGCAAGCCCAGCAGAGTATTCCCACAGGTCAGTCTCAGAGGTGCCTGCCAACGTTGTTCTCCGCCTGCTATCAGAAGCCAGAGTGATTGAAGGTTCAGCCCACTGCAGCCCCTGGATATTGCAAAGCCTACCGAGTCGGTGTCCCAGGTAAGAACTGTTGTACCCATACAACAGGCCCCAAAAGATGTGGTTTACTGGGCAGAGACAGGAACCTAGACTGCCATTCCCCTGGGGATTGCTCAGGTACAAGGAAGGTAATACTTACAAACCTTCCTCCATAAACATGAGCCCCTAAAGACTTGGGGTGAGATTCAGAGTGCTCAGTGGCTCTTGTGTATCATTGTTTTTGTAATATTCCTCAAGAGCTAGGACGCCTGATAGACCACCACCCTAGCAACGAAGCTGCTGCCCTAGTACTCAGGTCAGGCACAATGGGCTCCAACAGCCACCACCGTGTCCTGAGTTCCAAGAGAACAGGGAGTGTTTGATTAATATTACAAACAAGTACTTTGGAACCAGTAAACATGGCCCAAGACCAACATGTGGTCAGTATGGCCTGAGAACTCTTCAGTACTAAGGCAAGGTCAGAAGGGGCTAGGACAGCTAGGCCAAAGGTGGACATCTGTGGAGCAGTGTGTTTGTTTAGTAGAGTTGAACCTCTTCTCAGAGGCTCCGCACTCGGTGTTAGGGGCACACTGTTTCAGAATACACTGGTGACTGGTGAGACACCCTCTAAATTCACGGGGAAGGGTGTCATAGACCAGGGGCCCTAGCACACAAAATATACAAGGCTTTCTGCCAACCTCCAGGCCCATGGTGTTCACAGGAGAACTCCTGTGGAAATGGGGTGGCTGGCAAAGCCCCTTGCCAGATCAGATGGATGGGAAGTGGCTTAGAGCTCAAGCTCAGTCAAGCGTGCATCTGCCTCCATTGTCACTGGCTTGGGTGTGTGTGGGCCTAGTCCAGCCCTCGTCTCAGTGGGTGACCTTCAGAACGCTCTAGGTGGACTTCATATAGAGGCTGAATTAGGTGGACCACAGAGCACAGCTGGGGCTGAGGCTGGGTAGAATAACTCCCTGAAACATGTTGCTGTCGTGAGCACTCTTGTCATAAAACTAACTTTTGGAGCTCAAGGCCTTATACCCATCCACACAGAAGAACAAGCGCTTGACAGAAGCACAACTTCTGATGTCTGGGTGGACAAATACGCTCTGTGACGCTGGCTCCTGGACTCCAAGAGCTTAGACTCCTACCATGCCCATTCTCCCTCACAGGTTGGCCACAGAGCGTGGTGGGACAGGATGGATGCTTCTCCCGAGCCCCAAGAGAAGGGTGGGACACTGGTGCTGGTCCGACGGCAGCCTCCTGTGTCCCAGGGTTTGCTGGAAACACTGAAGGCCAGGCTGAAGCAGAGCTGCACTTGCAGTATACCATGTGCTCAGGCTCTGGTGCAGAATCTGTTTCCTGTCCTGCACTGGCTGCGTCAGTACCGCCCTAAAGAGTACCTGGCAGGTGATGTTATGTCTGGGTTGGTCATTGGCATTATCCTGGTGCCACAAGCCATAGCCTACTCACTGCTGGCTGGGTTGCAGCCCATCTATAGCCTCTATACCTCCTTCTTTGCCAACCTTATCTACTTCCTCATGGGCACCTCACGCCATGTTAATGTGGGCATCTTTAGCCTATTGTGCCTCATGGTGGGTCAGGTGGTAGACCGAGAACTCCAGCTGGCTGGTTTTGACCCCTCCCAGGATTCTCTGGGGCCTAGAAACAATGGCAGCACACTCAACAACGTAACCACAACACTGGTGCTCGGGCTACAGGACTGTGGACGGGACTGCTACGCCATTCGAATCGCCACTGCCCTCACTCTGGTGACTGGCCTTTATCAGGTAAGGAGTTAGCTGCATAGCAAGCAGTCCGGCTGACTCGGCTTCTTAGAGCACCTACAGGTGCTTGTCACTACCATCAGGAAAAGTCTAGAAACAGAAGAATCCTTCAGGCTCAGAGAGAAAACAGCACAGCAAGAGGAGAGGTGGAGCCCAGGCCTAGGTACCAGAGGGACTTAAGTCACAGAATGGAGAGATATGTAGGGCTGGACTGGCCAGCTGTAGTCTGAGTGGCCATGGCTCAGAAAAGCCCCAATGTCCACCTTGGCGTCCTGACACAAACAGGACCTAAGAATTGAGATGCGTTCCCCTGGCTCCCCACCTAGCTCTTTTCTGCTGATCCTGTCTTCTCTATTCCTCCTGTCTGTTCCATGGCTGCCCAGAAGGGAGCTGGGTGGAAGGAGCCGTGTGTTGCATACAAGGCACAGGAGAAGGGTCTGCCTACAGCCCTGATTCTGAAACAAAACCAATTTCTGCATGTGTGAGAGTATGAGAAGTGAACATCCACAGCCAACTGCAACATGTATGTGCTGTCTCCCTGTATCTTCTGGCCCACTGTGCATGTGGAAACAGCAGGAGCCCACTCAGGAGAGTAAGCAAGGGAAGACGCCAGGCTCTGTGCTGTAATCCCTACCCTGTGTTATACCGATGCTGGCTCCTGCCTCATGACCTACCAAACTGACTGTACTCCATCTACAGGTCCTCATGGGTGTCCTCCGGCTGGGCTTCGTGTCTACCTACCTCTCACAACCACTGCTCGACGGTTTTGCTATGGGAGCCTCTGTGACCATCTTGACCTCTCAGGCTAAACACCTGCTGGGTGTGCGGATCCCTCGGCACCAGGGCCTAGGCATGGTGATCCGCACATGGCTCAGCTTGCTGCAGAGCGTGGGACAGGCCAATATCTGTGACATGGTCACCAGTGCCGTGTGCCTGGGAGTGCTGATAGCGGCTAAGGAGCTCTCAGACCGCTACCGACACCGTCTGAAAGTGCCGGTACCCACAGAGCTGCTAGTCATTGTGGTGGCCACACTTGTATCCCACTTTGGACAGCTCCACTCACGGTTTGGCTCGAGTGTGGCCGGCAACATTCCCACTGGTTTTGTAGCCCCACAGGTACCAGATCCTAAGATAATGTGGCGTGTGGCCCTGGATGCTGTGTCCCTAGCCCTTGTGGGCTCAGCCTTCTCCATCTCATTGGCAGAGATGTTTGCTCGTAGTCATGGCTACACTGTTCACGCCAACCAAGAGCTTCTAGCCGTGGGCTGCTGCAATGTGCTGCCTGCCTTCTTCCATTGTTTTGCCACCAGTGCTGCCCTGTCCAAAACCCTGGTGAAGACAGCCATTGGCTGCCAGACCCAGCTGTCCAGTGTGGTCAGTGCCGCTGTGGTGTTGCTGGTGCTGCTGGTGCTGGCTCCACTGTTTCATGATTTGCAGCGGTGTGTGCTGGCTTGTATCATTGTTGTCAGCCTGCGTGGGGCACTGCGCAAGGTTAAGGACCTCCCACAGCTTTGGCAGCTAAGCCCTGCTGATGCACTGGTCTGGGTAGCTACTGCAGCCACCTGTGTGCTCGTCAGCACCGAGGCTGGACTTCTAGCTGGGGTGTTCTTCTCACTGCTCAGCCTGGCGGGCCGCACACAGCGTCCACGGGCTGCCCTTCTTGCTCGAATTGGAGACTCAACCTTCTATGAGGATGCTGCCGAGTTTGAGGGCCTCCTGCCCCCACCTGAGGTGCGAGTGTTCCGTTTCACAGGCCCACTCTACTATGCCAACAAGGATTTCTTCTTGCGGTCACTCTACAGTCTCACAGGGCTGGATGCAGGGCACTCAGCCACCAGGAAGAAAACGGGCCCAGAGGTGGGTGTCAGTGACGGCAATCTTGCTGATGGCAAGGATATGGGTTCAGTGAGCAGCGGGACCGGGCTAGTGGTACCCCTGGCATTCGGTTTCCACACAGTGGTCATTGACTGTGCACCACTGCTGTTCCTGGATGTGGCTGGCATGGCCACACTGAAGGACCTGCGCAGAGACTACAGAGCCCTGGACATCACCCTGCTTCTGGCTTGCTGCAGTCCCTCAGTGAGGGACACGTTGAAGAAAGGGGGCTTCCTTGGGGAAGACCAGGGAGCTGAGGATGAGCTCCTGTTCCCCAGTGTACACAGTGCCGTGGAGGCTGCACGAGCCCGCCATGAGGAGCTGGCGGCTGCTGACTCTGCTTTTTAGCAGGACCTACACCCATGTCCACAAGCCAGTACTGACCTCCTTGGTAGAAGTGCTATGAAGACTGGAGTCATTAGAGAGATATACCCTTGGACCACCTCTAACCTGGAAAAGTCAGGGAACTCCAACTAAGAAAGGAAAGTGCGCGTCCGTAACACATTCAAGAATTCCAAACATTCAGTAATTGAGCCACTCTACATCTGAGACCACTGCTGCCCCCTGGTGGCCGCACCCACACACATGATCCCTCGGCCAAAGCAGTGCCCAGTTTAACAACAGTCTGTGTTACCATCTTATCTGAAACAGAGTCCTGCAAATTATGCGGTCTCTAAGATGCCAAAAGGACACATTCCCTCCCCCTGCACCACCAGGTATCAGATATGAGCTGAACACATGGCCTAAAGGCCTTCTCATGCCCAGTGATCATCTTGATTGGGCCCTTGCGAAGGCAGTCACCTGCTCCAGAGCAGATGGTCCAGTGTCACGACCTAAGATGATGTGACACCTGACCTTCAGGCATGATATCTCTATACAGCTTATACTGGTGACCACAACGTGGCCCATGTATGGTACAAAGTCAGGCACAGTAGAGACACCAACCCCATTCTGTACCTCTAAGAAATCCTCAGACAGAAACCACCTGTGCTCCATCCAAGGGCTGCCCTTGGCATAGCCAAGCAGACCTTCCCCTCCTCTTCTGCCCAACAGGATGCTCTAACAGGAAGTACAGTCCCAGTCCCCACCGTGCCCTACCCACAGTCCAGCACTGTGCTCCACAGCTGTCCTGGCTCAGCATCTCTGTAAGACAAGCTCTGACCAGCAGCTCCCAGGGCACCCACCTCAGCGTCACCCACCTGGCTGTGATGAGATCCAGCAGCCAGTGTATCCGGACCTGCTCGATGCCACTGTGAGGCACAGCACCGATGTAGGCAAGGTTCAGTTGCTGGTCCCAACTAAGGTCGAACCGGTCAGCCTGGTCATGAGGCAGTGGGGGGCTGGGGACAGGACAAAGAAGTGAAGTGTTTGTCCTAAGCAGGGGCTTACAGCAGACCAGGTTCTACACATTTAATACCTGGCTGACAGGCCCTTGCAGAGGAGCAGTGTGTGTCTCCACGTTGTATGATAAAGTAACCCTTTCACCAGAAATGTTCTACTGTCTTGTCTTGGGGGGGGGGGGTGTCGGGGAGCTTCAACAAGACACAGTACCACATTCTAATAGGACATCTGCCGGCCATAGAAGAGGATCTGCAAATTCCTAGAGAGACTTGGAGGCATTGAGAAACCAGGTCTGGCCCAACACTCGAGGTCAGGTCTTGGTACTTTGGGAAAGCCCTTGGGTCTGCCGAAGTACTAATCATGAGCCTATAGCTTGAGTACCGTGCTCTTGATCACGGGGGTTGGGGTGGGGAGCATTTAGGGAGGCTGTGGCACTTGGGAGAGCCACTAAAGTAGAAAACCCATGCCACACCCTGAAGGAATTTGATCTTCACTCCTGAGTGTCCAGGAATGATGGGCAGCGAGCCCAAAGGTGTGATGAGAGAAACCCAAAGAACGGAGCAAGGGCTTTCCTAGACTTGGCAAGAGCGTGCGGTGGGCCTCACCAGAAGCCGGTGCTCCTCCAAAAGGGCAGCAGAGGCCTCAGCGGGCGGGCTGCATCCACACGCACCAGGTATGGGGTCTCAGCCCGAGTCAAGGGCGCGGCCAAAAGCACAGCTACAAACGCCAGCTTAGCGGAGGCGAGGCGCCGGGGGCGCATGGCTAAGGTATCCAGGCGCCCCCGATCCGCAAGCCTCAAGGTCCGGGTAGCCTCGGTTCCGCCTCCGGGTAGAACCCACGTGACCGCTCCCCAGGCAGGGAGGGGCAGGCAGAACCCAACACGCGCCGCCTCTTCCCCTGGCGAGTTCCGCCCAGGTTGCTGCGTCTCAGACGCTCCAATCTCCGAACGACCACTGGCAGAACACTGGCCTTCGGTGTCTCGGTGAGGCCATTATTCCTGGCGATGCCAGGAAAGGTCTCTCGGGAGGCCTACGAGAAGTCTGAAAAGCACGTCAGACCCTGCTCAGTCTCGTGAGGAGTGAAGGTGGAAAGCTGTACCAGAAGAAGGCGCTGCGGGACTTTTCCAAGGACTGGGTTTGGCGAGAAAGTCAAGGGTATTAACAGAGCTTTGGCAGAGCGGATCTATGCTTTTTCCTGGAATGGAGCTGCTGTAAGAAAAACAGGCATGGTCAGATACGCTTCAGAAGCCAAGTGGTCACTTCTAGTGGACAGTCAAAGATCAATCCTAGATGTCTGGGAAAGGCGAGGTCAATAGCCGTTTAGATTTGAACTGTGCACACAAGCTGAGTGGGATATTAGCAATGGTGAAACAGAAACAACTTGAGTCTAACGACCCCTGTTCCTGGCACATGCCTTTAACTTCTATGGTTCCCTCAACAATAAAAGCAATCACGTTTCATGATCCCGTGAAAAACCCCTTTCTCGTGTAGTCCTTCCCTGACACCAACAGTAACAGACCGTTCCTAAAGTCAAGCAACTAGGATTTGTAGTTCCTTAGATTGGTGATTTTAAGTCTTCGGTCCTCAGGACAGCTGGTGAAGGGAAGGTTTCTGGGTGGAGAAATGAAAGCTCTTATGTCATAACCCTTATTCAAGGATCAGAAAGTCAAGAGCCCACGTGGCATTTCTTCAGTGACTGAATACAAAGCTCAGTCATAGATGACATCTGGATGCTACCTGGTAGGACATTCTGTTCTGTATGAAGAATAAGGTACTCTTCCTCTGAATTAGTGAGTTTATTAAGTAGAAAGCAAGCAAAAGTAAGATAGTGCATATCAAGTAGTGAATAGAAGCAGCAGATAGCAAGGCATCAATGTTGGTCACTCACAACACCCAACAGAAATGATTGGGATAGCCTGAGCTACAGATGCCAAAAAAAAAAAAGGTGGTGGGGGGTAAAGATAAAAAAAATTCCACGAGTGCACAGAAATGTTCTAGGAACAATGCAGAGATAGAAAATACTCCAGAGAAAACTGCCAATATGGTGAGTGGATCGTTTTCAATAACCTAAAAGCTGAAGTAACAGGAAAGGGTCCAGGCTGAAACTAAAGAGAGAGACAGTAGTGGGAGCAAAGCTGTTTCAGACTAAGCTTCCTTAGAACAACCAGTGATGGCAGGATCCTTGGGGGCCACTGATGTGGGAGTGTCATATATCAATCTGTTGATTTCATTGGTTAAGTTATAATAAACCAGCTGCTTGGCCTCATGGCTTGGAACATAGATGGGAGGAGTAAACAGAATAGAATTCTGGGCAGAAGAGGAAGTGAGGTCAGACTCTGCTCTGCTTCCGGAGAGACGCCATGCTCAGCTCTCCCGGGTAGACGCGATAGCTCTGCACTCTGAGGCAGACGCATGAAGCTCAGATCCACGATGGACGGAGGCTAGAATCTTCCCGGTAAGCGCACCTTGGGGTGCTTACACACATCATTAGAAATGGGCTAGTCCAGGTGCAAGAATTAGCCTGTAAGGGCTAGAGTTCATGGGCCAAGCAGTTCTTTAAATGAATACAGTTTGTGTGTTGTTATTTCGGGCATGAGCTAGCCAAGCGGCCGGGGTGTTGGGGACGCAGCCCCGCCGCTCTTATTTCAACAGGCCACAGCTTGGGAAACAGTATCTCTGATGGTAAGAGACTTTCAGTGATGGGAGCTGTGAAGTTGGAACAGTCTTCTGAGGATTGTGGGACAGAAGCTGAGGATCAGGTTCCTTACATTAGACAGCTATACCCTGAAAGTGGGGGTGAGACAGAAACTGAACTGCCCTCACAGGAACTGAAGTTCAAATCTCCTCATGCCCCGAGTGAGTGAAGGTAGGTATACACCATCCGACAGAAGAGAACACACTCCCTCCACTCCAGGAAGCTCAAGCTAATGAATCATCAGTGGGTTATTAATTGGTGCTGGAACGGATCCTGGGTCAGAAAAAGATGATCAATCACACAGAGTAGACGGGGAAATTTTTAAACTGAAAATGTACTAAAATTCTATCAATGACAGATCCAAGGTGGATAAATGACTGGACTGCGTCACAGTGGGAATGGAGATGTACTTGTTCCTTTCATATTTTAGCTGACATGTCTGGGATCAAAGGTTTTTTTGTCAAAATGGCTCTGAAGTTTAAAGAGTAACAATACAGTTGCACATAATATGTGAGGTAAAGCAAATTAGGTAAAATGTTAATAATTGGTGGTGATACAGGATAAAAATGTGTACTACTATCCTAATATTATTGTTGAGATAGGGTCTCCATATATAGCTCTGGCTGACTTGGAACTTGCCATGTAGATCAATCTGTACTAGAATTCACAAGCATCTGTTTGCCTCTTCCTCCTGAGTGTTGAGATTAAAGGTATCTGCTACCATGCCTGACCATAGTAGTAGTAGTAGTAGTAGTAGTAGTAGTAGTAGTAGTAGTAGTAGTTTTTTGAGAGAAAGTTTCTCTGTGGAGCCCTGGCTGTCCTAGAAGTTGATCTGCTTGAGGTGCCAGGAAGATGGCTGTTAACAAAGTGACCTGAGTTGAGCCCTAGTGGAAAAGCTGGGTGTGGTGGCACATGCTAATAATCCCAACACTGGGGAGGAGGACACAAGAGGACCCTTGACACTTCCTAGCTAGCTAGTCTAGCAGAATTTGAGAACTCCAAGTTTGAGAGACGGAGCTGGTGACATAACATAGCAGATCCGAACTCTTGTTGCCAAAACTGATGATACAAGCAAAGTCTCTGGAATCTACACGGCAGAAAGAAAGAACTGATGCCTGCAAGTTGTCCTATGGCCTCCACCTGCATGTTGTGGCATTCAAGTGCTCCTACACATATGTACACAAATAAATAAAGTGTTAAGAACACAAAGATGGAGAACAAATGAAGAAGAAACCCAATGTTGATCTCTTATCTCCATGAACACACATTTGTATCCACACAGAGAGACAATCAAACTATCAGATTAAAAGTAAGTCATCATATGAACCAGAGAGATATCAGTTAAGAGCACTGACTTCTCTTCCAGAGGACCTGGGTGCTATGGAATAATCATTTTGTACATTGTGAAGATGTGTCACTCAGATTGGTTTAGTAAAAAACTGAACGGCCAATAGCTAGGCAGGATTTTGGGGGTACAGAGGATGCTGGAAAAAAGGACTGAGTCACCATCCACATCCAGAGTAAGCAGGATGGGCAATACGGAGATGAGCTAATAAAACCATGAGGCAGAAAGTAAATTATATAAATGGGTTAATTTAAGTTATAAGAAGATCTATTTAGAAACAATACAAGTCAAGCTTTCATAATTAACAATAAGTCTCCATGTTGTGATTTGGGAGCTGGATGGCAGGACAGAAAAATCTGCCGACACCTAGGTTTAATTCCCAGCACCCACACAGTGGCTCACAACTGTCCACAACTCCAGCTCCAGGGCATCCAACACTGTCTTCTTGCCTCCATAGGCACTGCACACATATGGACCACAGACATACATGCAGGCAAAATACCCATACAGTATGAAATAAAAATAAATCTCAAAAAATGTAAAGCACTAGGGGGCTGGAGAGATGGTTCAGAGGTTAAGAGCACTGACTGTTCTTCCAAAGGTCCTGAGTTCAATTCCTAGCAACTATATGGTGGCTCACAACCATCTGTAATGGGGTCTGGTGCCCTCTTCTGGCCTTCAGACATACATGGAAGGAATGCTGTATACATAATAAATAAAAATTTTAAAAAATTAAAGCACTATAAAGAGTCTCACATGGTGGTACATATTTGTAATCTTAGCACTCAGGAGCCTGAATCAGGAGAGTCACATTTCAAGGCAGCCTAGGTTACATAACAAGACCCTGTCTCAAAATGTCAAGAACTGGGACTGTAGTTCAATGGTACAGTTCTTGCCTAGTACGTGCAAAGCCACATGCAGATTCCCAGCACTGAAAAAAAAAATTAAGGGGAACTGTAAAGACCAAGCAGAAAAAGACAAAATGAAGCAACAAAGTGATCCTGGAAACAGCCAAATGAAAATGGCCTATTGCCTTCAAAGTGCAAACAATAAAATGAACACTGACTCTTCAGAAGAAGGGCTGGACCTGAAGACTGAAAACAAGCCTTTTAAGTCCTGAAAGTAAGCATCTTAGTTTGGTTTCTTTCCTGTGATAAAAACATGCTGACCAAAAGCAACTTGAGCAGAATGGGTTTATTTGGTTTATGCTTCCCAATAACAGTTCATCATTGAAAGAAGTCAGGGCTGTAACTCAAGGCGGGAACTAAAGCAGAGGCTGTGGTAGAAAGCTGCTTATTGGCTTGATCTCCATGGCCACCTGCCAAGAAGTGCACCACCCACAGTGGATTTGACCCACCCACATTAGTCATTAATCAAGAAAAGGCCCCCACAGACTTGCCTACAGGCCAATTTGATAAAGGCTTTATTTTTTTCAATAGAGGATCCGTTTTCCCAAAAGACCCTAGTTTGTGTCACATTGACAAAAAAAAAAAGGATTAACTACCATATAAGTAATTGGTTACTTAAAATTCTAAATTCAACCAAAAAAAAATCAATTTGAGTGCCGTGATACATCTTTCAATTCTCAGACACTCAGGAAGTTGAGGCAGAAGGATTGCTTGAGCCTAAGAGTTTGAAGCCAGCCTGAACAACATAGTGAGAAACATATCTATATGTCGTACATAGACACACAGATAGATACTTTGAAAAGCAAAGGTTGAATCAAAACATTTTAGAGAAATTGTGGGAACAATTGTTGCTGCCTATTTTTTATTAGGGAAATATTACATGTTGTTCTTCAAGCAGAAAGATAATGATCCCTTGTCAAATGCAGAGGAACCAGAAAGAATGAAAAGTAGGAGTATAAAAACTGTGTAAATCTAATAAATTGTGAAAGTCGCAGTGGTAGGAGTGTCTTATGGAGGCATGAAGACAAATGGGTCTGGAGAATTACACTGTGGTAAAAGCAGCACAGACACTAGATGTAGGTGTCAGTGTTAGAACTCCACTGTCATAGTTCCAGAACATGCGGTCTTTGTTGCACGCAGTGAAGGGTGTTTCTTTCAGTGAAGGGTATTTGCAGGCATAATTGAATTAGGATCTTGAGATGTGAGATTATCCTAGATTATCCAGTGGATCCCAGATGCAACGGTGTGCTTACACAAGGAGGCTGCAGGAGATGTGACACAGAGATGGGGCTAAGGTGGCCTCATAAAATTGCCCGAAAACTAAACCAAGGCTCTTAAGCCAGGCATGTGGACTCAGCAGACATAGGAGTGACATCCTGAAAGAATAGGTAAGATATTTCAGCAAGACCTAGTATTGTGGCCTAATGACATGTATGTACTTTTGATTTGTATTTGAGTACTAACGGGCAGATCTAAAGAGTTTTCCAGCCCAGCAGTGTATCCTACATGTGAGGGTG